GAGAGAGAGAGAGAGAGAGAGAGAGAGAGAGAGAGAGAGAGAGAGAGAGAGAGAGAGAGAGAGAGAGTTTATTCCAGGGCTACCTGTGCTCAAGGCAAAAGTGTAATGTCAGAAAAAAAAAGCAAGCAGAGGGAACAAGGCCTCGAGCCGTCAACCCTCAGGCTGAGCCATTTCCCTGTGCAAAAAAAGAGTGCAACAAACAAGTATTCCAATTTGCTTCCTAACTCTGGCGTTTCTCAGCTGTGAAGAAAGAAACACAGACAGACAGAGACAGACAGAGACAGACTGACAAGGAAGGAAAGAAAGAAAGTCAGTCAGACAGACAGAGAAAGAAAGAAAGAAAGAAAGAAAGAAGGAAAGAAAGAGAGAAAGAAAGAAAGAGGAAGTGCTTCGCTGCGTGCTGATCACGAAGAAAGAAAGAAAGAAAGAAAGAAAGAGAGAAAGAAAGAAAGAGAGAAAGAAAGAAAGAGGAAGTGCTTCGCTGCGTGCTGATCACGAAGAAAGAAAGAAAGAAAGAAAGAAAGAAAGAAAGAAAGAAAGAAAGAAAGAGGAAGTGCTTCGCTGCGTGCTGATCACGAATAAGGCACCAAGAACTGTGTCGGGTTGCCACCACGAGAAATGATCTCCGGCTGCTCTCATTATTAGTGAATTGAGTGTTCATTTCAATGTTCCAAACTGTTAACTAAAAATACGAATTACCAAAGACCAATATGATCATATATAAATTATTAAATTGTAGTTACCTTCCCTTTTCTAAGCAAGGAAGTCAGCCAGGTCGGGCTGGGAAATTAAGGCAGAGCCGAGGACAGAACCAATGGCTGACTGAGATTGACATTGCAACCAGCGTATGTCTGGAATCCGGTCTCTACAACAACCTGGGCGTTCGGGGGAAAAAAAAAAAGTCGCAGCTGAGGACAAGGGCATGGCATGGCAGATGCAAGAAAGCCATTGCCACGTGTCTGACAACCATACATGAGACGAATGATGACAGTATTCAAGTCCAAGGACATTTACAAACGTCGTATGTTTTCTTTAGTTAAAAAAGAAAAAAAGAGGATGTCCACCGCAGAGGCGGCGGGGACCAGGAGGGGTAGAGAACAAAAAAACATTGCCTGGGGACCGGGGGGTTTAATCGCACAACCATCCACCGTTTATAGCGGTTATAGGGGGGGTTGAGGTACAATCGCACGAAGTAAACAACCCAGAGATCCAGAAAGGGGGTTTG